GTATCCCCTTTTCAGTTGAGACTTTGTGCAGTTTCCCACTAGTGCTGAGCTGATGAGCTTCCTTTGCGGCTAACTCCATGGAAACACTTATCTCAATGGCTTTCTCCAAGGTTAGTGCACTTTCAGTTAGCAGGCGTTTCTGGATAGCCTCGCTCCTCAACCCACACACTAGTCTATCTCTAATAGTGTCCTTCAACACCTCATTAAATTCACAATATTCCGCTAACTTCTTTAATGCTGCTACAAAGACGGTCACAGATTCCCCTTCCTCCTGATTTCTCTTATGGAAGCGAAAACGCTCAGCAATTACCAAGGGTTTCGGTGAGAAGTGAGCTGCCAAAGTATTCACTATGGTGTCATAGGACTTAGTTCCTGGCTTATCAGGTTGCACAAGGGAACGTAGCAGATTAAAGGTTTTAGCACCCATCACGCTTAAAAATGTTGGCACAAGCTTCTCCCTATTAATGTCATTAGCCTCAGCAAAATAATTGAAACGCTCCGTATAGGAGCTCCACTGTTCTGTGTTTTCGTCGAACGGACCAATACTCCCAATGATCCCCGCCATGTGGACTTCACTCGTAGTCTCGTAGCCCAGTTACTCACAGTCACTGTCGCCTCTCACTCACGCTGCCGTAACCTGTCCTCCAGTCAGCTAACGCTGCACAGCAAGCTAGCGTGCAACTGCGGCACACAGAAGAAACCAGGCCGTGCTGTCTCACACTCCGAAAACCGCTGGGCATCTGTGTTTTATCCTCGTCGCCACTTTTGTTGTGTCTGTAGTATTTCTTCTATTTATACTAGACACACAAGAACAATCGGAGCGTAATGTGCCGTTCAGTACTGATTTATTATGGCCTTCAGTTATCTTACATCCGGGTTACCCGCAGTACCCGACTACCCCAACAAATGTCAGTACAACCCACATGCACAATACATGACATTTATTGTATTGTTTATTTGCAGTTTTTACCGTGATGTTAGATGAAGAGTGGACAGTAAATGTTTTGATCTTGCTACAACCTCTTCATTGACTACGGTTTAACTCGGTGTTAAGTCAGAGTATCAACACGCTGCACAAGAACACTAAACTATCCATTCAAGCATGTACTAGGTATAAGCAAATTGATATTGGATTAGCATTTGTTGGATATGTGTAAAATTATGTGTTGACATATCAACTGTCTTTACATGCTTGAAAGAATAAATTAAATCAAATCAAACCCACCACGTAATCCCTTCTGATACTTACTGAAGTCATTCGATCTTATTTCAGTCTAACGTTACGGTCTAAAAATCAATCAAACGTTGTGACCGCCGGTAGCGCACACAACAAACCAACCAGGGGAAGGTTGAGGTGACATAGTTGTGGCTGCATATGCTACTGTTAGCCAGCAGTTAGCTAACCCGGTTTAAAAGCGTTACCGGGTGTCTAGTGGTCTTCTGCTGACGCCCACAGCCTCGCAAACTGTGCGGCCAGTTCTACAGCTGTCGCTGCCTAATGTTGGCTGTTAGTTCAAGTGACTAACAGTTAACTAGCTAACTCGGAACTGCGCTGATCAAGTCTGTTGTGATACAACTCACTGTTAAGTCGCTGGCAATGCAATCACCAACATTTAGATTTAACGTGTAACAGCTGTCTCTTGGTGAATTCGGTCTAAATGTGTTTGAAACGTCTGTTCCAGCGTTGATCTGTTTTTGACGTTACGCCGCTCCAGTTTGATAGATTTTGGAGACCAGAAATATGCGGAGACACGACTCAAAAACTTTCACGTCATTAAAAAGTAAGCTCCATTCCGGGCATTTCGTTATGCCGAACTGAAATGTGGACCCCCCCAGCTCTGAATATGCATTCAGTCTTATTCTCCAAAGCATGTCACATTGGCAATTACATCACAAGTCTTAAATTGATGAATATTTGACTGGCATTTAGCGTGACGTTCTCTCAAACAGTGGCGGCTAACGTTAGCTTGTTCGTTCAGCAGTCAGACCCTGTATCTTAAAACTACAACTGCAGGATCCTGTCCAGCTAATTTACCTCTTTCTTGTCCTGGAGACACTCCAACACCGCCAGGTTGTTATTCCAGGAATGTTTTGGACAGACTCGGGTGAGATCGTCCCTGCACACCGCCTCCTCAGCCAGCTTCCAGCCGGCAGAGCGCCTCCGAGGCAGCGAGGCCCCAGCACCCAGGTTTCTATCAGCGCCTCCAGGGTTTGCCGCAGCTGGCCCCAGACCTCCGATTTGACTGTGTTGGCTTTCAGCATTACCACCAGGTTTGGCGCCAACACCGTTTTGTCCTCGAACCAGATGCACAAACGACAAGATGCACATCAAAAACAGAAGCAAATGAACACTTATACAGTCCGCCATCTTCACAGAGCCAGTCAACCTGCTGCTGCATTCAGAGGCTGTCGGAGTTATAGGGGCTAGGAGTAAAGTTGCAGACCGTTTCCGCCCCTCCCTCTTTCTGGACAGCTCATAAATTATTAAAGGCGTCTTGTGGGTTCGTGCGCTTGACTCAGCCAATCACACAGCCACCGGAAAAGCGTCTTTTCCCGACATTCCTTATTGTTTTAATGGCAGACGAATGCACTTGTAATGAATAAACTGCACAAACATTGACACTGCACTACTTTGGCATTAAGTACTCAGTAAAGCAAAGGACGAAAAATCTGCACCAACATAAATCAAGCTGCGCCTTTGGATTACTGCAGCCACTTTTCATTTGTAAGAACTTGAACATTTCAGAAATGTTAGGCTACCAGGGCTAAGTAGTGTTTGAAAATCTTTAATAGCTGGGTTTTAGTAGACTTCAGATTCCACAGCAACAGTTCAATGATATATAAATGGTTTCACACAAATTCCCTTTTCAATTAATACAACACTCAGGTTTTCACGTTAAAAATGATGTACTGTATACACTCAACAGTCAAATAACTACAGTGTGAACGTTTAAAGGACAAGCCTGATGTTATTCTGTATTTTCCTCACTGTCACCAGCTTCTATACTGTCAACACCACTTGCACACAATTAAATAAAAGATTATGTGTATTCATGGCAGCAGGATGGTGTATGTGGATCCAAGTCAAAATAAAGTATGGCTTTCATCACCAAAACGTCACCAGGTGCATCACTGGCATGGAGGAAGGACATGCTGCATGTGTGGATCATGAATAAAGCTTGTGTGTTACTGATCATGTTTATACATGGCTACAACCTTTTTAAATTAAAATAAGTTTGGTCTCTATGCTGGTAGTAATACCACTGTAGTGGTGCAGTGACACAAAAGTTGACCATTTAATGGATTTTTCAGACAAAAACTATTTCAAAGGTGGTTTGATGACTTTTCCTCAAAGGTAATACACCTTACACATATTCCACAGCTATTTTAATCATGTTTTTACAGTACTCTCTCGTCTCACAGGAATATTATGGCTAGAGCTGTAATGATCAGTCGACTAATGAACTGACAGATTTAAACCATTTTTAAGAGAAAAATACCCAAAAAAAAGTCTTCATCCAGCTCCTCCAATGTAAAGATTAGCACATTTTCTCTATTTGGCATCACTGTAAACTTAAAATCTTTGTTTTTGTGTGTGTTTGTTGGACAGAAAACATAACACTTAATGGAATCAAAAATGTATATG